AAAAAACAAAAAAATATTAAATAAAGAGTGATTCGTTGCTTTTCCATCGCGAGATCTACGGGGATAAACGTCACGACAAACGGTAATTTCGATAACGATGCGATTCAAAACGAAAAGCGGAACGTCACACGCGTGAAAGCAAAAAGTCACCGAGGTTACGAGGAAAAATCGTTGAGAAGTAACCGACAGGTGAAACTATGTCTAATACTTCGGATACTTTCCCGTGAAATAAGACGTTGGACACGCGATAATATCTACGTCTACGACGATTGTTACAGAAACGAACGAAACGGAGGAGAAAAAATAACGATAAACGGACAAGTATAATTGTTCTTATTCACGCGATAGTGTTTATGTGACCGAACGCGTTCTCTCGACACGTTCGCGTAAGTAAACCTTATCTAATTACTTACGAATACGTTTTTCTATTCTTCTTTCCACCATAAAGTAGATTCAATTAGGAAAAAAGATAACGAAAATACGTCATGCATGAAATTTCTTTGTGAGCAACAAATTACGGAGAACCCTATAAATCTGTTTGTGTCTCTCTGTACGTGTACACATGTATGTGTGTGACAGTGAGTGAGTGTTGTGTTGTGTGTGTGTGTGTTTGCGCGTACGCGTTCGTGTGTATGCGTGTTCGTTGTGTTATTATAAACGAGAAAGAAAAAAAGTGCATTCGCAAAACGTGCATTACAAATAGGATACAATTTACAGAACTCAGCAATGGATACATACGTGTAGCGACCAGTGTATGATATTAAACGAATAAACAATGAAATGCGTGTAAAGACATATAGCGATTAATATAATAATTAAAAAGCACAGAATAGTATGTAAGAGCTGAGTGTCACCTATGTTACTGCGAGATACTGTTGATAGCCTGTATTTTAATATAAGTCCGTGGGTTAAGCTGCTGTTAAAACAACATTGAATTAAATGCGTTGCTTTCTCCTTATCGTCGACTAATATTAAGGGATAGTATTACAGATGGGTTATCGGAAATTCTTTGAAATCCGTGTCATACGTAAGTACAAGTATTATAAAAAGAAACAAGAGACACGAGAGCACACGTGAACCCGCACTACCATACAGATCTATTCCCGATGCAAGTACGAGAAAAAGAAAGGCGAGTTCTATGATTCTCGATTAAATTTATTCTGGACGATTCGCGTAAGGCGATTCTATGCGAGTATCATGAAAAGTTGACGTATCGTCGGAGATTACGGGTAAATCGAGCCGTGAACATATCTCGGGAAAAGAAATTTTATAAATCCAGCTACTACGTTCCACCGAGCATTTCGATCGTTCGGAAGCGATAATCGGATAGAAAGGATGACGCCAGTGACTTACCGTGCGGCTGATACCCTCGACCTCCGTGGCTGCTGTGTACGCTAGGAGGTCCTTGTCCATACATACCATCATAGCCTTGATCAGGGCCAAGCATGTCCTGAAGATTAGGTAGCTCAGATCAACACAAAACGTATCTTCTTTTGTAGGTGTGTCTTTAACACCGCGTCGAGAGTAAAGGTCGAGAGATACTCGTTGTCGCAGTATCGTCGGTAAATCGCGGAGAAAATTAGTAAAGGCGGCGGCGATACGATATGCATATGTATATGGAAAATGGAACGTGTGTCAACGTGTAACGCGATTCTGGCGTTCGAGACAAAGAGGAAGAAAGAATATGAGAGTGAGTGGGAGAGTGAATGGGATGGGAAGATAAATAGATAGACAGATCAATAGATAAATAGATAAAGATGGAGAGAGAGAGAGAGAGAAAGTGAGAAAGAGAGAGACAAAGAAAGAGAGAGAAAAATTATATATATATACATATATGTATATAGTATATATATGTATATATCGCGACAATATCGTTTTCGTTACTCAGCTTTGAAAAAGGGGTTGAAACACGAATGGAACGAAACGCATTCTCATGCATAACGCAACGTTGCAAACTGAGGATGATGATAAAGTCATCGCTGTACATTTATTACAGGTTCCATTGCTCCATTAGGCACGACCCTGGTAGCGTATAGTCTTGAACTACGTTTACAAAGAACGCGTTCGATGGGAACGCATTTGCATACAACTATTCCGAAATAAATCGAATAAACGAAGCACGATCGACGCCGAGTCGACGAGTGGTTACGAGCGTATACCTACGCGGCTCATCGGTGAATGCGTATCGGATATATTATTTGACGGTTCGACTTGGATCTGGCAAAACTGACGTTAAAACAAACCACGTTTGCGTTTCTCGTCGGATTCGTTTAACTTCCGAATCTCTTTAAGTTGTGCAAACTGGAATAATGGATAACGACATTTACTTCTGCAAACTATCTAGTCGTACACTTCTAAACTTACATGGCGGGGAAGAATACGTGTGCAAGTATGTACCTGCGACTGTGACTAGGTACTAGGTCAGGAGTATTCGCTATCGCTATTCCGTTTTCGTGGCTTAATTTACTTAACACTGTGTAACCGATCGTGTACACAAGAAACTTCTATGTCGCAAATTCTCCTAAAAACCTGATCGCTGAAATCTATTCGAAAGCTACACACGGCACACGGTACAGGAAATATTAAATATGGTGCATATTCCTATCGCAGCACATGCCGCCAGATGAAAATATAAAAATAAAAAATAAATAGTCCGTGTTACAAAGTGTCGGTAAAAAAATAAATTTAGCCACGGCGTGTAAGCGGGTCATGCATCGGTACTAGGAAGTGAGGTACGGTACCTGTAAGTCCGGGGGCATCGCGAAGTCACCGTTGTTCCATAGATTCGTGTCTTCGCGGAACAACGAGTTGGTGAGTTCCATGGAGAGTCGCTTTTTGTATTCCTGCGGTTTGTCCTCGCTCATACGGAAAAGAACGGCGGCCGCGTAAGTCGCGACACCCTCGTTCCTAGAATGAAGCAGCTCCGTCAGAGGAGCGGTAGCACCTTCCTGTTCTATCATTTCGGCACCTTCTTTGTCAGCGGCAAGCTCGCAAAGTACCCCAGCTGCCACGCGTTGGATATTCTCGATCTCGTTGAACAGCAACTGCACCGAGAACGTTCGCGTTTACACAGTTTTCTAGGTGCGAACATCGAATTTGATGTGTAAAATCGATGAAATTCATGTACTAACCTGCACGAAAATCGGAATCACGTTCTGAGATCTTATGATCACCCTGTTGTGCGATTCTCTCGCGAGAATATGAAGCGCTCCCACGGTCCCCTCGACGATTTCCTCCATACGGACACCGCCGTCGAAAGCGGCCGACGTTTGCTGGCTACCGGTGCTCGCCACGGAGGATCGTTGCTGCTAAACAACAAACGCGCGGTCGTCATTGTCGGTATTAAAGGTAATCGCAACCGTAACGCGTCGATAGAAATCAATCGAACGATCGGATGCATACCCGTTGCGTCTCGGGGAAGGCGCGCATCAGAAGCCTCACGAGATGGTGAATGGCGCCGTGGTCGCGGAGAGGGCCATGGTTCGCAGGGCACAACGCCAAGTTACGAATCAATCCGATCACAGCTTTGACCAATGGCCAACGAGAAGGTGGATGTAGCAGCTTTACTATTACTTGGATTCCGTAATTCAGGCGAATGGAATTTTGTGCCGTTTCGGCCTCGCCGTGACGCGACGTTAAATGTCGTAGCGCGCATACCGCCGGTTCGCTGATCTCCTCTCGACTGTCCGCGTAAATGATAGTGCGTACCAGTGCATCGACACCCCCCACTTGGCACACCGTTACCTTATTGCGTTGGTTGTTGCAGGTAAGGTTCGATAAGATACCGGCGGCACACGTCACGACGTTTACATCGGTGGAGCTGAGCACCTGTACCAAACTTTGCAATAATACTTCCAGCCCGTCGACTTTCGTGCCAGCATCGGACAAATTTCGCAGAGTCCACAGACAATTCTGCACGAGTCTTTGACTCGGATTACCGAGATGCATCGAAAGTGCTTGCATACCACCCGCATCCACTATCGCCGGTTTATTGCTCGGACAAACCGACAACACTTTCAAGACTCTCGACGTCGTCCACAAAAGCTTCTCGTAATCGTACGAACGCATAATGCGTACCAGCTCTATCGGCCCTTGGGAAGCTAATATGATCAGCTTGCTCTCTTGGTTACCGTACGCCAGGATTTGCAAACAATCGGTAACTATGGCCAAAAATTTGACATTGTTTCGTTGGAGTAACGCGACCATCTTTTGTAAACCTCCGGCGATGCGTACCGCCATTTTCGAGCCGTCCTGGTGCAACAACAAATTGTGGAGAGTCGTTATGGCGTAAAAGAGCACAGACTCCATCTGAGAACTGAGAAGTTTGACAAGGGCGGGTATGCCACCGCTCTTGAATATAGCTAGCAAACCTTGCCGATGATGCGACAAGTTGTGCAACGTGCCAACCGCTGCTTTGGTCGACTCGAGATCGTTGCTTTTCGAAATCGCATGAACTAACGCGTCTACCATTTGAGAACTGTTCATAATGGCGTGACGAGAAGCCTCTTTCTTCGAAAGCTGATGTACCATTATCGCCGCCTTAGATACGACAACCTGATCCTCGTCATTCAACAACTTAATCAATTCTGGTATCGCGCGAGTCGCTAGATCCGCGTCATCTTGATAATTTATCAAATTGACGACCGCGTGTTTCAACATTTGACTCGGTTCCGCTAATCTCTGCACAGCCGTGGGTTGAGCAGGATCAAATTGAGTAGAGGGAATTTCTATACCTTCTTCCAATGTTTCTGGGAACATGGCTGCCCGAACACGCTGAGATCTTGTGTGACTCAGCTGTTGATTCATTTCGTCCACCTGATCTTGAGTGAAACCTTGTGCAAACCCCTGATCCAAATCGAACATTAGCTGATCTCCTTCCATTTCGTCATCCTCCTTGCCCGACAAGGAAGGTGCCTGGGTCACAGCACCAGAATGAATACCAGAGTCGACCATGTACGAGTTTTGTTGCCACATCAGGGTCTGTTCTTTCGCAGAACCCATCGGCAGATCGCCTGGTCCTTGGTAGTTTCCGTGAGACACTGTAATCATAATAGTGCACCGTACCGTAAAAGTTTTCTAGAATTTCTGTGAGGGAAGAACGAAGCTTACTCACTTGGTCTGGATTGATTCGAAGACATTTGGTAACTCATGGCTCCTACGGGAGAGTCTATCCACACCTAAAGCAAAGAAATATTGCAAATTATAGAACCATTTGAAACACCAAGAAAGTATTGAATAACGTCGCGACCAAACACGCTCAAGCGAAAATCAGAAATTTCACGGAAACGATGAAAACAGAATCGGTAATCCCGTATCAGAAAACGCGTATTGGAAAACGATGAAGTAAAAATCTCGTTGGTCCGTTGTATCGGTAATCACGGTAAAAAGAAAATCTGGTACTACGCGTATCTCACTGGAGACGAACGTTATTCGTCACGTTGTAGAACGCGAATAAGCGAAGACGCGCGTAGGGTCACTGCACCGTATTGCGAATAATGGAAGGAGGACGAACCCGCACGGAATGTGGCCACAATCGAAAGATTGTTCGGTGCGAGCGTCCTCGCAGCTTCCGTTTTTGTCGAGCGAGAACACGCACGGTACTCGGGAACGTTTCGGTTCGCAACGGCCACGGTAGAAAGTCTCGGTGGACCGTAAAAAAAATCGGAAATAATCTCGGAAAATCGAAGAAACGAGTCGGCGACGTGCACGAGGCGCGAACGATTCTCGACGGAGTGAAACGGAAGGTAGAGGGACGCGCGTGGGCGTGCGGCACACAACAAAGCCTCCGAGAATGCAATGCATCACCATTTTCCGAGGATCCACGGGCAGCGGAGAGCGGAGAGCGGAGAGCGGCAGGGAAGCGAGAACGGAAGAACGGCCGAGAGATGCATTAACTACGATATACACTGGCGGGAGAGAGAAAGGAGACAGAGGAGGAGCACTTTGACACACCCAGCGTAAACACTACCGTCACGGAAATGACAAGTTTTTCCCCCCTATCGGTCGACGTACGATGTAATGGCGAACGGCGAGATTCTACTCTGTGCTTACCGTATCGCGAGGATCGACCGAAGACGATTTCGTGAATCGTGCTCGAACGAGGACACGGCTGGCTCGATTCCGCGACACTCGATCCACCAAATTCCCTTTTGCCCCCGTCAACCGACCGCTTCTTCACCTTATCTCTTCTCGCCACGGAGCTCTCTTGGCCTGTCTCTTCGCTCTCGGATCCGTCAACTAAAGATGGCGGAAAACGACGCGCAACCTTCGACACTACCGCCACCTGTCGCCCGTAAGGTTCGAGCCGAAGCCGCCGCGGTCGCGGTGCTCGCTATATCTCTTCGCGACGCAACCTCGATTAGCTGGATGTCTCTAGGAGAGTATTTATCGATTTTTACCCGTTACGAATACTCGATCCCCGTCCGACACGACTCACCCTCCATTCCCGACTCGTGCGTTTTCCTTGGTCCACCCTATTCGAAGTGTTATGCGGGGTGAACGGCACGTGAGTAAGTATCAATTACCCATACCCAATCAGAAATGTAAGGTTAGGAGAACCTTAAGGATGAATCGGCGCAATCGGGGCGCAGCCGATAGAATATATATACAAGCGCTATCTACTCTTACCTACGTTAGTTACGTTTTACCGATTCGATCTCGGTAAAACGGCCTACATGGTATTCGAATGACGCATCGTTGATTCGTAAGTCGTGCCCCGGCTATCGCGTTTACGCGCTCATGACGCGATTACAAATATCGTAGGCAACCGTAGAACGACGTTGGTAGAAAGTATGCCAGGTGCTGAAACAAACAATGCCCTGTAACGGTCCGATATCTCGCGCGGAGAGACTGAAGGATATAATATCCTGCGGTCAAACAGATCAATTTCAATTAAAAGACAATACCCCGGGACACGGCAATTTTTTAATGGATTCCAGTGGATATTTGTCCATCCACTGCGGCCGAGAATTTCTGATCGAGACCGGGAGTAAATCGTGTAGCCGGACAGCTAGAATGCGCGGAAAATAACAGACACTGGAGTACAAAGTAAAATATACTGGCCGTTTGGCGGGAACACCATTCGTTATCGGCTGCGCCCACGCCGATTAATTTTCGGATGCGTGATGGCGGTACCGTTCCTTCCGTTCCGTACAGTGATGATACATTTTACGTCAGCGCTGATATTGAACGGATAATCGGAAAAAAGGAAAACACGCGTCGAAATATATCACGCCGCGCCGATATTTCAATATCGACGCGCGAGGCGTACCCGAATAAATTTACGCTCGTTCTTTTAATTAATCACTAGCAATAACTGCGTTTCGCATAATGCGAAATATAAACCGCACGCCGGTACTTTGTCTCCGAGTTTCGTCGTGGTTACACGCGCTTACATATTTACGCGTGCGACCGTTCGCCCCTGGCATCGTCCTCGTAATCATCCGTGATCGACGTCTTGTAATTTCCATAGGGAATCCGAACTTTGGCTACCCAGTGATTTCGGTGCAGCGGAGTCTAGATTAATAGAATATCCGCCAAGAGGAGGTGGGAAACTGTTTTTCAATGTTCAAACACGACGACGCTCGAGTGACTAGGTTCTAGACGCGGTTTAATTATAATACGGTTGATAGCGCAATATCAAAAACTTTCGCGTCGATTGCAAACACCCTCAAAGTTCATCCCTGCTGGGGAATGAATTTAACGTCTACGTTCTGACACGGTGACAAACGTACCGATCAGTTTCGGATACGTTCGACGCGTTGCCGCTTGTACGAGCGCGCAACAGGACTATCTCCGCACCGGCGATATTTCGCGGTATCGGTCGGCGCGCTTATTAAAGCACTCTATAAAGGGATAAGGAGTTAAATTGTGTTTCAATCGAGTAAACGATTATTCCCGTTCCACGAGAGAGCTCGGATCGGAAATGTACCGAACCGGCGGACACTTTTACGATGATTCATCGCGAGAGAGAATACGCGTATTTTTCTGCTGGAACTTTCATTTATTTATATAAAAGTCGACTACGACGTATTCTCGTAGGTTTCATTTATTTACGAGCCTAAACGGGGGAGCGTATAGCCCACGCCTCGCTATATCCGGAGGATACTGCCCCCCTCCACCCCCGACGCCCCTTAACCAGATCGGTATAAGCGAGCGTTTCTTATTCGCGAGAAAAAATGACTCGCGGCGATCATTTCGCACGTTCGATCGACGGGATCGAGGAAACTAGTTCCGCCGAGAAAGACCGAGGCCTCGGTCTCGCTCGTTCGCCGCTCCGGGTTCCTTAAATTTCGCGCGGCCCTCGAAAAAAAGCCTCGGCACCGTCTCGAAGGCGGACCAGGTAAAGCATAGAGGGTGACAGATGCCTGTTCAACGGTGTCTCCCCACCTACGCGGCATGCTGCTGACACGAGCGTTTATGTCTGCATAAATTCTCATTTGAGCCCCGATAATAAAGTAAGCACACGAGGGGGACGGACACACGTTGCCCGGTTCGGCGAGCACAGGCTGATACATAGATCACCGTTGAGCGTGGGGCAAGAAAAGGGGGAAGAGTGGAACGGGGTTGTGAGACGGGGACCGCGGGGGGATGAGGAGCTCAAGGGCTGAGAGGTTTGCAGGGGTGGAGGGGCCAACGATGGCTAGGCATATATTTATGTGTATCTATATAAGGTACACACGAGCACGTTGCCTCTCGAACGAGTCACTACACAAAGCCGGACGCACGCGCGTATACAGCATTCTTGTGATGCGGCGTGCTTAATTATATGCATTCTGAGAATCTACGCGCGGATCTCCCTCGCCTAATGCCCGCACGGGTACCTACACCTCGGTGCTTCGCGTTTACGCAACAACGAAGAGAAGTGGCGAACAGCGAGTCCTCCTCGGTACCTCGTCGCCGACTGCCCCATCGGCGAACAACGGCGTCCCGTGCAACCGATCCTGCGAGGATCGAAATGAAAATCGGAAGTTTCGGCCATACCACTGCAAGTCGGAGGCGCGGAAAGGTGGGAATGACCACTCCGCGTCCTCCCAGGGGAGGGAAACGAGTCAACGGAGGGAAGTTTCACGGACACGGCTGTACGCGGTTTGCCGTAGTTGATGGAGTACCCTCGCGGCTAATGTCGAGCGAGGCTGGTGGATACAGTCAACGGCGTCGTGGACGACGAACGATGCCCGATTCATCACCCGGTTCAACGGAAGGGATTCACGCAACTCCCAAGACACAGACAAATCAAGGGAGTGTCGAAAATCAGCGGCGGTGTATCGCGAGAGGGCCGACGCGACGAATAGTTTCGCGCGGCAGGATCGATGGCAGGACCAGCACACCCCTGGGAACTTGCATGTACGATCGAGAAAGTTCGAGTACGTAACGTGTTCGTTGCGTCGGTAGAGTTCTGGCCCGCGTGGCGGATATGGTTTTCGTATCGGGCCCGTTACGGCATCGGAGACACCCCGCATCGATCGGTTTATTCAACGTTTCATCGGTCTCGTTCGCCAGGGAGACTCATCCGCGCGCGATCAACCTCCGGCCGGAATCGAACGGAAAAGATTCGATCCGTGTACGTGTATAGGTATATCCTCCTATAGGTCGATGGTAAAATCAGGTTAGGGGTACGCGGTGGTATCACGGATCGCCGCGGAAAAGTTTGACCGTCCGAGAGGATCGGAAAGAAGAGGAGGCTCGCGAGATGCTAATAGCGCGGTGGGAATGCGAGTGAGCGCAACGAATGGGTACAAGGGACAGAAGGACAGCGGCATAGGAGGATACGGGGGATATGG